AATTCAAGCCTAATGAACTTTGAAATTTCTAATTTCTACAAACAACTCCGGAACCTATCAAATCACGTCCGATTGACCTCAAATTTTGCACACAAGTCCTAAATGACATAACAGAGGTATTCCAATTTCAGAATCGAATTCCGACCCCGATATCAAAAAAGTCAATCCCCCGGTCAAACTTCTCAAAAATAAAACTTTCGGCATTTCAAGCCTAATTCCTCTACGGACTTCCAAATAATATTCCGGACACGCTCCAAAGCCCAAAATCACCATACGGAGTTATTGGAATCATCAAAATTCAAATCCGAGGTCGTTTACACATAAGTCCATATCCGGTCCACTTTTCTAACTTAAAATTTTCAATTATGAGACTAGTGTCTCATTTCACTCCGAGTTCCTTCCGGACTCGAACCAACTAACCCGATATAACATAATATAGCTGAATAACACAAAAAGAAGTAGGAATGGGGAAAACGGGTTTATAACTCTCGAAACAACCGGTCGGGTCGTTACACCTTAATATCCATCTTCATATCCGATGACGCATAAATCTTAATCAACTTTTAAATGCATATGCATAAAAAGGTCTACTAGTTCCTGGCTTGTTGATTAAAACATTTGAAAAGTCATTTGTTTCTCCCTTTTACTTGATCGTTTCTTCGAGTTATTATTATTATTCAAATAAGCCTTCAAATTATTTGGTGCTTTTGACAACCAGTACTAATTAGCATGTTGATTTTCCTCATTTGCAGGCAATTCTTCATAAACTAATTGACCGTGGAGTTTGAAGTGTAACCATCCCTATATGCTGTATATCAGAGAATTTCTGTAAAATGTAGTACACAGAATGGTTGTTTAATATGCAAAGATTATACAACTTTCAATAATTATGCCACATTTTTCTTTTTCCTTTTTTCCTTCCTACTTTCGTTCCTCTAATTTTTGTTGTCGTCTTTTCATTTTTCAATGTTAAATTTTACTTCATCTTTTGGAGTTGTTATTTTTGGGCCACAATAGAGGTCACTGGAATTGAACTCGTAATATTACAGTTTGAATTGTGACATATCGTCGACCAATTTTTTTAATGTTAAGTTAGTGAAATTGTCACAATGTTTTAAAATTTTCTTTCTACTAGTTGCC